ACAAAACTCTATTAATATTACATGGTTAAAGAATAAGGTGCAAAATATTCTTGTAGATCAATTTAAACAATTGTGGTATAGTGATATGTATAATTCACCAAAAAGTCTTAATTATAGATTGTTTAAAAAGTCAATAACATTTGAGAAATACTTGTTGAATTTACCTCCTAAACTTTCTATGAAATATTGTATTTTTAGAACTGGTAATGCTAAGCTTCCAATTGAAACAGGCAGATGGTATAATATTGTAAGAGAAAACAGAATTTGTCACTTGTGTTTATGCAAGGAAATAGGAGATGAATTTCATTATTTATTTAAATGCACTGACCCATACATTAAGAATTCTAGATTAAATCTATTGCCCAAGTATTATTACACAAATCCTAATGTTTTTAAGTTTGACCAACTATTTAATTTGAACAGCAGGGAAAAATTAATTAAGTTATGTAAATTTATTGGAACTATAATGGAGAGAGTCGGCTCTCTTGGTCTGTGACATTGTCATTTTTTTCTCATTTTTTCTTTGTCTCACGCATGCTTAATTAATTAATTGTAAATATTTTGTGTTATATCCTCTCTATACTGTTTTGTACAGTTTATGAGAATAAAGTCTTGTCTCTTGTCTCGGTAATTTATTTTTTAGGGGGAAAATACAGGTGAAAATATATAGATTGACACCTTAGTATTTACCTGTGTAATTATGAGGTTACAAACCGTGACGATGACTGGACAGGATGGGCTACCCGTTATAAAAACAACTCATAATCAACTCTGCGGACCTATAATTAGTTCACTTTAATGTCTGTATTTCAAACGCAGATTAGGCTCTACATGCGTATATTTGGGCACTCTTGCATATGCATTATACTTTAATTATAAAACGTGCATGTTCTGTACTTGCATGCATGTACATTATATGTCTCCGTAAAACCTTAATGAAGCATTACGAGAGCCGATAAGAAAAAATAACGGAAACCTGCTCGCAAAAAATTGCAAGTTTAATAGAAAATAATTATTTGTTCAAGGTTAATTAGTTGTCCAATGGAATAAGTTAAGCATGTGTGTCTCAATCTACATACATTGGTGGCGCGTGTGAATGTGGGATTTTGTTTTGATGTATTCTGATAAAACGCTTGATATTTGTATATTTGGGACGTATACAGTTGTACATTTTAAGGACGACGACAAAAGAACGTATATTGACTTACATACATGTACATTTAACTTAAGATACAAAAAATCTATCACTAGTAGAAATTAATCAAAGTAGTCAGGTAAGTAAAAAAAAACAATTTCTCTGGTTGCTCCCCCCCCCAATTTCAAAAACAATGCTACGTGCCTGTTTTCGATGGTATTTGAAGTGAAACAGATCATGACCTCAATATCGAGAAAAATATTTGCTATAAAAAAATAATTATATGCAACTTTCATTTAATTCAGCAAATAAATTATTGAATGAAATGCACTAGCGACATAATCAGTCAAAGATACTATGAAATAATCTGAAAGATTCAACATATTAATATCCACTCATCAATTAGTTAACAAAATTAAATTTATCCATTCTGTGGTTTCTTTTGTGTATATGACTGGGGGTCGCTGGATCACACGCCGATTGATTCCCGGTGACCGACTTTGCCCCGCGTTATCGAGGGAGGCGCGTTATATAATGGTAAACAAACAAGGTGAATGTAAAAGGCGTGCACTTAATGGCTGTGAATAGTATATGCTTTACAGTTATGTTTTATTTTCTCACTATATTGTTTGTTTTTATATGATAAGAAGAAAAGATTATCTTTTCTTCTATTTTTAATAGACTTGATTTATACGATTAAAAAAATGAAATAAAAGGGAAAGTTGTCAGTGAATAATCATGATAATTTGGGGAAAAAACACAAAACACTTCAAGAACCTTATTCTAAAAAATATTAGCATCCAATGTAGCCATGTTTATCATTTATAGTAAGTTTGTTTTGGTTTACACGCATGAGGAGCTCGCGTTTACGTGCTGAGTGAAAAGAATTACCTGTACATATATGGGTCATGCATCTAGCTCATTTAAAACAAGACTCGAACAAAACAATTTCATGAGATAATAAGATGTTAAAGCAAAACTTCATAATCAACAGTCGTTCCGAAATATTTACCGTTTTGAGTTATACAGCAAAAACTTTCAAGGGCCCTAGATCCCTAATTTTAGGGGCCAGCCCCTTTTAAATGATATTAAATGAAAGCTCGTGCAATTATGCACAACTTTTATTCAACATGTCTTAACAAAATATTTTTAGTTTTCAAGATAAGAAGGAAAATATGTGTTAATTTTCGCTCTTTTAGGCGTTCTAATTTTTGACCCCTATATAGCACCATTTTGAATACAGAAATCGAAAAACAAAAACCGATGTGCACAACTTCAATCCTTCTGTTATCTAAAACCAGTAAAATTTCTGCTCCAGCTTTTGTGGTCTCTGAGCCTTTGTCTGGAAATAAAAGCCTATAATTTTTCGTTTAAAGGGAAATAACTCATAAGCGGAAGTAATTTTTTAAAATGTTAGACAGTATTCTGATAGAGTTTATTACCCGTCTATAATGTCTGAAAATTTGAGCAAAATCCATTGAGAAATGAGTGAGATATGAGGCCTCAAAGTTGGCGTCTAGGAAGAAAAAAAAAGAATAATAAGAACTAGAGCAAAGCTCGTTGCAAAGCAACGAGTGGGTCTTCCTTCTTAGCAATAAGCAGAAAGTGAAATGTTCAAATGTCAACTTTGCTACCATTCTTTATTTCTTGTCAAAGAAATAAAGTCATCAAACAGCAAAAACACTTTTTTAAAATCTTATTCTGGAGTGAGCACAAGAATAAATAACCAATGGTAATCTCTCCAAAACCATTGAAACTGTCCCTACAAATTTTATACAACCTCATACAGTGTATTTTGACTTTGATTTGTAGAAATATACTAGTATCACCTATGATGCAATCATATTAGTGAAGTGTTTTATGCTACGGATATATCAGACACTGTTTGATACATCATCAGCTAAAAAATTGCTTTAAAAACGTTTATACAGTATAATTAGATAGTACATGTATTATAATAGTAAGTAATCCCAATGTGTTACTGATGAACTATCTCCATTTTTTGTCAGGTCAGAAAAAGACCAATACTTTTACAAGAAATACAAAGAGATGTGTTGTGCTGACCTCCACTGGCAAATGGTGGTATCTCAATAAGTGTGTAGTAAAGTTCTCTGAACAGGACATTCAACAAAGAGATCTCTTTTTAAAAGCACTGCCCTTCATATGAACAAATTTTATTCCCCTACACTAAAGAATGCTCTGTGCCAAGTTTAACTTAAATTGTCCTGTGGTTCTGAGAAGAACAGGAAATTTTGATGAATTTCATTCAAAGATGAAAATGGGTGACTTTTATTTTAAAAATCAAAGGCCTGAAGGGCCACAATGGCGCCGCGCTTTAGATATGAAAGTGACATCGTGAAATAATTATATAGCTTAGCTGTACATGTATATCTAGATAAAATACCACGAATTCAGCATTTATGAAATAAAAGCATTCAACTCATATGGTCCAACTAAACAGCTTGAGAACGGATTTTAATGTGTAGTCACTAGTCAGTACCCCGGTAAAAGAGTATTAGGACCATATACTTGCCAACACCCAAGATGTAAAAATCTGGTCATTTGTGTACATGTATTTGTAATTCTATTTTAAAAAAGGCTTTACTGAATTATTTACTTACAAGGATGAAAAATTATTTATTAAATTGACATGTTAAATATGAACATTGGTTCCTTGTCCAGCATTGACCTAAATTATGGTAAGTCTGCATTAAAAAAAAAAGAAGCCTTTTCTGTATGTGCTAACAGGGACTTGCATCATGTATAATTATACTAATATATTGTTTATATATAGGTCCCTGGTGCAATTTTAGAGGATTTGAAATTACTTGTCAATTATTTAGTTAACCAGTGTAATAAATGTACAGTAACACCTACACTGTTTTCGATCACTTTATTTTATGTAATCAGGTAATGAAAGTTGTTTTCCAAGATTTCTTGACATGTACATAAATATTGTTTCTCTTTCACTTTGTTCAATTTGTTCCTGCTAGTCCTGATAACAATCTTGTTTTTTCGGAAGCCATTTTAAATTTTGATTTGTCAAAACAATTCCAGTTAATTGTTTACACCTCCACCGATAATTGACTGGCCTACAGAACCACATAGCCATCGGCATTGTTTACGTAGATCATGCTTGGGTTGTAACTGGAAGTTAAAAATACAACCTAATTTACGAACCAAATCCGGAAATCTGGGATTCGGGCGATAAGCATGACTCGCCGTTTCATAAAAAAATAAGCAGGTTAAGGATCGAAAAGTAACCCGACGAAAGTGGGTGAGTTGTCAACTATGTATAGGACTGTTGAAATTGTATGATTTTCAAGCAATTTATGGAATAAACGCAAAAAGTGGCATGTATATTCCTACGCCAGATACATAAAGGTCATGGTTTGAGTACTATATTATTTGGCGCATGAAGAAAGCGGTGAACAGTCAGAGATTTCACCATAGCTATATGTGCGCCGATCTAAAGATCGACGCCATAAAAAATTACTACAGCATTAGCTCATATGAGTTAAACTGTATACAGATTTAGTGCTCTGTTGACTTTGAAATATGATAAGACATCTCTTTGATCTTACGTTTAAAACAACATGTACCATGTCCTTTGTGCTGAAAAATGCACTTATGTTTATGGTGTAGTTGTTTGTGCCAAGATAGTAACTTTCCTTCCATAATACTGTAAAAATACACATATTATATCTTTTGCTGCTGAAGACAGAGATTTATCATCTTAACCATTTAAATTTAGCATTTGTATGCCTTCCCTTAGAAACGGAAGACCTTAATACAGGTCTATGTAAACATGCAAGATCTGACACATTTAAAAAGAACATTTATTCCAAACTGAACATACTAGATTCTGTAACAAAATCTATTTCTCTTGAAAAACTGAAAGCAGTTGATATGTTCATGTTTGTCAAATTGTGAATTAATGTCTTTTTCTCAAATCAAAATTTGAATATGCTATATTTAAAGTCATCTTCTTAAACTGAGACTGTTTCACACGACAGTTTCATCTTCATTTCGCTGTTTATACTTTGTCATCTGATCTCCCAACAGATGCTCTTCTGGCAAATCATGATCATTCTTGGCAGCAAATTTCAGTACTCAGATGACAGTCACAGTCACACCTATCAAAAAGAAATGGAAATTTTTCATTGATTTTTTTTTTTTTTAAAGTGCACCTTATAATATAAGATAAACCATCAAACTGAATTCAAAGATACTATCACATTTTCTGCATGTGTATTATTTTTAAAACTACTCTATAATAATTTATGAATATATGTTAACAAGCAGACATTTGAGGATGTTTTAAATAACACATTAGATTTTCATGATTTCAAAAGGAAATTTACATTATTTGTTCATATAAAAAAAATATTAGGAATGGTAATGGTTAACAGTTGTTAAAGCCATATATGGCGTAACTGATAAAAAAATATATTTTTGAAAAATACAAAATTTAGTAAAGAAATATAGTTAATACATTTAAATTAAAACTTTTCATAAATTCTGAACACAGAGAACACCTCGTTTCATCTAATAATACGATTTTATCTCTAAATCTTTTGTATTTTCTTCCGAGTCGGTGAAAATTCAGAGAATCCAAATTAAATTGTGATATCTTTATAACGCAGTTGAGTTAGACTTTGTAATTTACGGAAAAGGTCTATCTTTATATAAAATAATGATACAAATATTAAGTTCTTAAAATTTTAGTCTAATAATTTTCATTGTACATACGCCATATATGGCTTTAAATGATTAATCAGTCAGAAAGAAGGTATTTGGTTATGATTTTTATATATTCGAACCAAACTTTACTCTGTGCCTTTGAAACTTTTAAATAGTCTTCTTGAAAAGACCAAGGAACATCCAAATTTAGATTCCTCGACACCTGAATATAGGCTCGGTTCTGTGATTATGGATATTGCACATCATAGGCTTTTTAAACCCGCACGTTTCACGGAAGAAAATGCAGCTAAAAAAATCCGTCTTTTCCTTAAACTTCAAATAAAGGAATTCGCGGTAAATATTAGTAATATTCTTAATCACAAAAGGGTCCAACCATATTTCAAGTTAAAGACTACGCCTTGTATTTCCTACAAATATACATCGACCATTGCTTCCAAACTTTTCAATTACAAAAATACTTTACATGACCTGGATATCGACTATCTGAAAAATAATCCCCTTTCGTGTTCATGTTCTTCTTCGCCCTATAACTATAGTCCTGCTGGACACGTTATTACAGGTGACGTAAATGTAGTTCAAAATGAGGACCTTAGATCACTTATTTTAAAAGGTCCTAAATATAGGGAACCCCGATCCTTCAACTGGCGTCAGAATTTCATAAATATTATGGATTCTGTTGAAAATTACGCCAGACGATGGGCTAGATATGAAAAAGAAGACATTGACACCTTGTCAGAATGGATTAAATGTATCAGATCCATGTTAAAGTCACGTGTTAAAAGATTGAGGGGCAAAATGAAAACCATCTACAATTTTGTGTTCAATAAACCAGAAGTGAAAAAAGAATTAGATAGATTACACGATCAGTAGGTACTGGTTCCTGCCGACAAAGCATGTAACAACATTGTCTTCATTTGTAAGGCTCATTATATTAATTGCATTTTAGAAGAACTTGGATTTAATTCTACGAGTGGTAATCCTACTTATACATATACTACTCTTTCTAAGGAAGAAATTCTTCAAAATCACCTGTCAGTTTTGAATACTTTTAATATTCCACAGAGCCAAAATGAATTTGAACTACCTTATATATATTGGATTCCGAAACTTCATAAGAATCCTTACAAACAAAGATACATTGCAGGTTCCAGTAAATGTTCAACCAAGCCTCTTTCGTTACTTCTCACTAAAATATTGACAGTAGTGAAGGAAAAACTTCAAGAGTACTGTACAACTATATATTCAAGAAGTGGTGTAAATCAGATGTGATTACTTAAAAATTCTAAAGAACTTTTGGACAATTTGAAATCACAAGACTTTACAAAAATCAACAGCATAAAAACTTACGACTTTTCAACTTTATACACAACAATTCCGCACGACAAATTAAAATCCAGGCTTTTTGATATCATTGACAGCTGCTTCTTCAACAAAAATGGAACTCTTAAGTTTACTTACCTCGTCATTGGTCATTTGAAAAATTATTTTGTTAAAACAAATTCTGATTGTACACATAAGTACTCTGAAGTTGACATCAAGAAGATGCTTGAGTTTCTGATTGACAATATCTATGTGGTTTTTGGAGACCAGGTATTCCAACAATCTATTGGAATTCCCATGGGTACAAATTGCGCTCCGTTATTAGCAGACTTATTTTTATATTCATATGAAGCAGAATTTATGCAAAATCTTTTGCGTGAAAAGAAAAAAACACTTGCTGTGGCCTTCAACTCGACATTTAGATATATCGACGACGTATTGTCAATTAATAATGATAATTTCCATTCCTACGTCGACACGATATATCCTGGTGAGCTTGAGATAAAAGATACCACAGAGTCCAACACATCTGCTTCATACTTGGATATTTTACTTGAAAAAGACACAAATGGTAATCTAACAACCAAGCTATATGATAAACGTGATAACTTTAACTTTTCTATCGTCAACTTCCCTTACTTATGCAGCAATATACCTTCATCACCTGCATACGGAGTATTTATATCTCAGTTGATTCGATACGCAAGAGCATGCTCTACGTATGAACAATTTCTTAAACGAGGTAAATTATTGACAAGCAAGTTGATGAAACAAGAATATCAACAGTCTCGTTTAAAGTCATCATTTCGTAAATTCTATGGTCGATACAATGACCTTGTCAGCAAATACAATTTATCATTGAATGAAATGCTGACTGACGTTTTTCATACCAATTGTTAGTCCATTATTCATACACTGAATTGACTACGGATTTTTTCCATTATTTCCTGATTATGACAATGAGCACACGGCGGGTGTGACCGGTCAGCAGGGGATGCTCACTCCTCCATGGCACCTGATCCCACCTCTGATGTTTCGGAGGTCCGTGTTTGCTCTGCTCTTGTTTTGTATATTTGTTTAATGGACGTTGAGATTGAATACTGTTCGTTATTTCCATATCCTTATATCTATTCATTAAGGTGTTACATTAGGTACAGTGTGCTAATGAATTATCAAAAGTAACAAAACACTAATGCATAAGGAACGATGAGCTAGCGCATGGTAAAAATGAGAACGCAACTTTACTAAGTGATGCATTGTGGGTAAAAACTACTGTGGTAAAAAATTCTAAAGAATGAATGTGCAGTAGTCCGATTTTTTTTCTTCACCAAGGCGTTGTCGGAAGGGCTTCGCGACGCTTTCTATAAATATTTCGAACAGAGGCCCAGGGGCCACAGCGCTCACCTAAGCACATTGGGCTTGAATTTATCCCCCCTCTCCAGGTGTTCATCATTTGAACAAATTAGAATCTACACTACCTGAGGATGATTCCATATAAATATCACTAATCATAGCTTTGAAGTACTTGAAAAGAAGATTTTAAAAGGTTTCCCTATATATGCCTATGTAAAACTTGGGTCGGCCATTTTGGCCCCACCCTTGCCCCGGGGGTCATGATTTGAACAAACTTGAATCTACACTACCTGAGGATGCTTCCACATGTGTTTCATCTTTCCTGGCCCAGCGGTTCTGGAGAAGAAGATTTTTTAAAATTGCCATTAATTTTTAACAAATTCATGATTATCTCCCCTTGGAAAAGGGTGTGGCCCTTCATTTGAACAAACTTGAATCCCCTTCACCCAAGGATACTATGTGCCAAGTTTGGTTGAAATTGGCCCAGTGGTTCTTGAGAAGAAGATGAAAATGTGAAAAGTTTACGACAACGACAACAACGACGATGACGACAGACAATGGACAAATTTTGATCAGAAAAGCTCACTTGAGCCTTCGACTCAGGTGAGCTAAAAAGAGAAAGACAAATACTGAGTTTATTATTGGCAAAAATATTGATTTTATTTTGGATAATTGATGAAGTCAATTGCCCACGGGTAAGTGGTTGATTAAATTTCACTTGACCAACCCTAAAATTCACTAGCCCGGGTGTTGGGCAGTGAGATTTGTCATTCCTGAATACATGGTTAGTAATATTTTGAGATTATAGTTTTAAAAACATGGAGGAATAAATCAATACAAAGCGCACTTTTTTGTGTTCATTGATAAAAAGTTTTTTCAATAGGTGGCAATGTAGCTTTCCGGTCTATCAACATATATTTTGGAGAGCTACAATTCTGCAGCTAATGGGGTACATGTAAATAAATTTTTCATTTAGTTTTCCAAATGTTTTTAAAAGACAGGGAATGAAAATCAATTTTCTATAAGTATAAGCTTCAATTCATTATAAGTATTTGCCTAAGCATTTTCCCTCTATGACAGGGTTATTTAACTTATATTGGTGAATATTTATTGGCACGAGTTGGCTGTTCAAATGCATGAGATCACAAGTGCATTTGAACACACAACAAGTGCCAATATTTACCAATACATGTTCAATAACTCCTTTACTAAATGGCTAAAACATTTCCCAGACTGCAGAAGTACATTTTTCCACGTTATATTAATTAACTCCTGTACGCGGTCTCACATATTCCTCGGAAATTTGTAAATGTAAGGCATACAGTGACTGTCTAAAAAATCTGCATAATTTTCTATTCACAGATTAAACAGAAATTGAGATTCCATGGATTTACTGTAAACCAACTTTTATTCGCGACAAGTTTATTTCGCGATTTACCGATAGTGAACTAGTTCGCGATGATTAATTTTTCGCGATCAAGCCCTTCTTCGAACTGTTTTTAATATAAAAGATACTTTAAGGACCTGTTCATGGCGAGAAATATTCGTGATGACGAGGATCTCGCAAATTTCGCGAAAATTTCTTGCACGCTAATAAAAGTTGGTTTACAGTATGACCCCATAGGAAAAAGTACATCTATAATAATTTATGATAATTATTTCAACTAAAAAAACTCAAATTAATGATTTTTTAAAAATAGCGTTATTCAAATTAACGTCTGTGCTGTAAGCGTTCAATATATCATCATTCTGATCGACTCAATTGAGTGATATGATTTGTTTATTTAGGTTTTAATGGATCTATTATGCACTTAATTTTTAGTAAATTTGTGTAAAAAATAAACACATCTTATGTAAATGCCACTTAATTTCGTTAATTTAGCTCTGAGGATTTGACTAGACAACTTTTTTTGTTTACAAGGAGGCGTTCAATATTGAACGCTTGTATTCGGAATGTTTTGGGCATACTTATATACGCTATACAAGGCAGCGTTCAAAAAACATCAACGTATTAAACGCTAAAATTCTCTAGATTCTTGGTTGTATTTTCTTAGATACTAAATATTAGCTACCCGGTATATAATAAACCCAATAAATCATTGTCTGTTAAGGTAGCCTAGTGGTAGGGCATTCACTTTGCAAATTCATGAAGCTGGGCTTGATTTTAATTCACTGCATCAAATTTAAGACAAAAACATTTACGCAGAAATGTTCCTTTACAATGCACCAAGCATATAAAGTGAATGAGACCTTAAAAACCTCACAGTACATGTTTACTTAGGACAATGACCCTGAGTTCTAAGTAATTGTCTAAATTGATGCTTTTCAACAATATATATTAACATCTCTAAATATGTGAATGAGTGAAATTCTCAAATAATTATAATCAATCAAATTATCAGTTAGAAGCTGATCCTTACGTCGCAGGTTCCAATCCCATTGCTAAATGCTTGAGAAAGGATACTCCGATGAGACTGTATAAACCAAGTTTCTGTGTCACGGTAGGTGTTGGCACAAAAAGGATCCCATACTTCTCAAAGGCAGTAAGTGATGAGTACAAGTCTATATTTGCAGCTAATACTATCCCAAGTGGTGGCACCATAAAATAACTGAAAAATGTTTGATAGGCCAATTAACAAACAAACCATTCCTGCAGTCTTAATGTACAAAAAAGCAAACTTTCTATTATTACAATTTTTTTTAAACAAATTTCTTTTGCAATTTAACTGAGCAAAATTTGTCCTTTTTTGTCAATAAAGTTTGATATTAATTAAGACTTTTTGAGAACATCTATTTATAGCGAATCCAGACAGCAGCACAAATCCCTGCTCATAATGCGATCTCTTATCATAGCACCTTGGCAAAAGAAGATTGTGACTTGCACATTGATCCATACAATTTTTCCACAATTAACTTTGGACCCAGAGTGATTTGCTTCTTTAACATGTTTAAGTTACATTCTTGTAAGAATTAATTATGAAAATATTCCAAAAAATAAACTCACTTTAATTTAATAGATAAATTGAGATAAATAGTGAATAATAACATAGCTCTGACATTAAAATCAGCACTTATATTAAAGCTTTAGACTGGATATGTAGTAAGATTGCAACGATAAACCGTTTGAGGGTATACCACAGTTTATGTTTTCATGATTCAGTTCACCATACCACAAACTGTTATCACAGTTCGGTTCAATCGGTCTGTAATTATCCAAATTGTCTGTTTTGGTTCCTCATTCACAATCTTAAAATGGCTTCTGCATGAAACACGAGGTCAATGAAACTGCAGACATGGCAGTTAAACCTGTTTCCAGCCTCATATTTATTTAAAGGGTCCAATGATGTTATCACTTTCCCAGTGTTAGTTTAATGAACATTTTTTAAAACTTTTGAGTTGAAAGTATATGATTACAAACCTCTGACTTTTTAACACAATATTATGTCACGTACCGTAATATGTATCGTGAACAGAATACCATGATATGTATCATATGGTGAGGTAGTAGGTGTTTCATTGCACCCCTTTTATGTAGGTCTAACTTAGTTACTTACACTACGAGGTCATGTGACTTCAAAGTCTATTACCCTGTTCACAAGGAGAGTTTAATTAATTCGCAGTAAATTATCACAAAGTAAACTAATGCAAACAAATTCATGCAAATCAAACTGTGTTCACATGACAGCTAATGCAAAGAAAACAAATGCGAATTAAAATTTTACTTCTAAAGTCAGGCGTCGGTAAGGCTATTATTACATCTTTTACAATTCATGTCACCTAAAGCATTAATTTTGCCATTACGCATGCATATGCGGTTTGACAAGCCTAATCTAAGTTAAAACTGAATAAGTATTTGCCATCACCCGAACAGTCGCACTGTCAATATATTATTATTAATGAATATATACTGTAACTAACAATAAGTGTAGTTTGACTTATAGAGTATTATCACTATGATTAGATAGTACGATTGTTGTGTTGGAATTTTTGCATTTTTGGTTTTGAAAGCGAGACTTGTTGAAATTACATATAGCAGGTCCAGTACAATCTCTTTATTTAGCTATATAGCTTTAAATAGCTTTATAGCTTTATCAAGCTATTCAGTATAGCTTAATTTAGCTATTTTACTGTATTTTTTTCTAAAAGATGTAATTTTCTCAGTATGTACAAAAAAGCGCACCTTGGTGCAGTGATAATATACAACTTTGAACAGTCTTCTTAAAATAATGCATTTAAAATTCACTCATCAAATTACGTCTCCTTGAGAAACTTTGTAATCAAAGTTCTACAAGTTTTGGGGCTTTATAAAGCAATTGATACAGTTCTGCAATGATATCATAATGGAGACCAATTATGTTCACCAAGATAATTGATTGGTAACAGTTCAGCACAATGAGAAGCAATCATGCCTCAAGGCACCCAAGGTAGTGGACAGTTAGTCTAACAATAGAAATTCTCTTTTGCTTAAAAGTATTCAAAAGCTGCAAAGTTAGAACTATCTTTGATTTTGGTTGTTCTTTTGATAGCCCATAGTACAAATATGAAGAGTCAAATACATGCGACTTTTTGTTTATTTTCAGCTAAAAACATTTTTGTGAAAAACTGTATAAAAATAGCTAAATAAAGCTATTTTGAATAGCTTAATAAAGCTATATAGCTATTTAAAGCTATATAGCTAAATCAGGAGATTGTACTGGACCTGTATAGTACTCATTTTTTTTAAAAAATAAAATATAATACTGTGTGGATTTACAAGGCTAACAGAGAGCGTCTGAACTGTAAAACAGATAATATATTAGTGTGTCTGTGTTTAGTGTGTCTGTGTATTTCTAATAATACCAATGCTCTATTACTAAGCTGTCATGTAATCAGTCGTGTAAATTTTAAGAAAAAAAAAATATTCTAACCTTCATTCCAATGGTCCAAGCCAATCATACATTAAAATGTCGCCGTCAGCTCCTTCATCGCTCGATACAATTATCACTGGGAAATCCGAAGCAGATTCAAGAGTGTTCATCCTTGTTAATGCGACAGTCAGAATTTCCTCGTAAACAATCCACACAAGATTCTTAGAATATATGAATCGGGATAATTCTGCTTCGAATAATATTCCAGAGAAGTGACAAAGTACTTCGTAGCTGCAGATTGTCTACAAACGGATTCTTTGTTTGAAAATGTTCAACTTCACAAATCATTCGATTTTCAGTATGTAAACAATGGCAAACATGTGGCCGACGTCGAGTCGAAGGGGCACACTAAAAACGGGATATACTAGAGACCTGATATTTACCTGACGTTTTAATTTTTAATTAAATGGTAATATTGAGTATTTTAAATTCCTTATGTACAGACTGTATGACTTTGAGGCATATGCTATACAAAAATTCAATTGTTTGGAACATTTACAGACAAATTTGAATCAGGTCAAATCAGTGTTTAGTACATCGCGTCTTTAATACCTTCCTATTTCCCACAATGCCGCGCGTTGTTTACAAACAAGCGCGAAAAAATCCTCTAAACTAGGTACTAATTATTGTTGTGTACTTCATCACATTTTAAAGTTATTTGAATAAAAAGAAAACAAAGAAACACCGAATCAAAACTTTATCTTTTAGATGCATCAACTAAAAATGTGCACATGTATGCAGTAAGGCTTGGCTGGCTATAGTAGACAACTTGTTCCTGAAAGGTTTCTCACATACATATACTTGTTTTATAAAAAACAATTAAATATAGCTGGAAGTTTATTTCTTTTTATATCAAATGACAAGATTTTATAAGTTCGAAATTATTTCCGTCAAACTTTTTCCATAATATACCAATATTTTTAGCTATCAGAAAAAACGTGTATGAGCCATTAGCCCCCTAATTATAGGGGCCAGCCCCTTTTCGTTAATCAAATATGAAAGCTCTCGTAATTACCCACAACTTTTGTATTATATGTCTTACCAAATTATTCTCGGTTTAAAAGTTATTACACAAAAAGAAGCAAAAATTCAAAGAAAAAAAATTACTAAAATTTGCCGTTTTATAGCTTCCAAACTTGAGGAAATCAGCTATATAATTTTATCGTTGTGCACATCTACAATGTATTGGCTACAAGTTCTCCAACTTTTGTGTAAATATCTTATGTCGTTTTTGAGATTTTCAGTGGAAACGAGACGTCAAAAATTTTCAATTAAAGGGCAATAACTCACAAATAAAGGCACGCTTAAAAAAACTGAAAACAGGTTTAAATAGGTTTAACTACAAGCTATCTATCCTGAAAGTTTCATAACGATCAGTCCAAAGGTCTTTGAGAAATCGCCTGTCAAAAGTCGAGCGGGAAAAAAAAAAGAATAATGAATTCCTTGGAATCATACACATGTTTATGCCTTTAATTAGTTGTATGTGCCAAAATAACAATTTTTTTTTTACGTTATTCTGTAAAAAATACACATACATGTATTATAAGATCTTCTATTCCTGCTGAAGACAAAGGATATATCTTAATCATTAGAATAAGTAAGTCTAAACTTTGAAAGGGAAGACCTTAATAAATAGGTCAACATGCTACACAAACAAAATATTATTATATTTAAAAATAACATTTATTCCAATGTAATTACTGGTACATGTATTTCTGTTACAGAAACTATTTCACTTGAAAAACTGAGGGCAGTTGATATGTTCATATTTGTGGATTTATGTTGTCAAATCAAAATTTAAAAATGGTACACAGTGTGTTTAAAAATTGTCTTCACAAACCAACACTTGACTTATTTTCACTATGCTGTTTATTCCATGTCACATCCAAACAGATGATCTTCTGGCAAATCATGGTCATGCTTGGTATCAAAATTCAGTCTTCAGACGAGCCACACCTATCCAAAAGAAATTGAAATGTTTTAATCTATAATTTTTTTACTAATAAAAAGTGCAATTCATGAGATTATAAATTAGATTATCAAATTGAGAGATAAGATATTGTCACATTTTCTGTATATAATTTGTAAATTTTAATGTACTCTTTCATCAATTAAAAGAAGTTTACACAAATTAAGGCAGTCATTTATGCTATTCCCTAATAAGACAACATACAAGTGCAAAGTAATCATGCAAAAACACTTTCACACTAACACACAACACATTGTCACGCTAATACAATTTCACACAACAAAATATCAGGCTAACACAAGTTCACACAACACACTTTCATGCGAACAAGAATTCACAAACACGCTGTCTCGCTAACACAAGTTCACACAACACGCTGTCTCGCTAACACAAGTTTTACACAACACGCAGTCTCGCTAATACGAGTTCATACAACACACTGTCACCGTGTCACGCTTAGATGAATTCACACAACACACTTTCACGCTAACATGAGTTTACACAACATGCAGTCTCACTAACACGCGTTTACACAATACACTGTCACGCTAACACGAGTTTACACGATACACTGTCACGCTAACACAAAGTCACAAAACAGGCTGTCTCACTATTCACTAACACAAGTTCACACCAAATGCTGTTGCGATAACACACTGTCATCCTAGTACCATTTCACACAACACACTGTCATTTTAATACCATTTCACACAACACACTGTCAGGCTAACAAGAGTTCACACAACACACTGTCACGCTAACACGAATTCTCAAAACAGGCTGTCTCACTATTCACTAACACAAGTTCGCACCAAACGCTGTTGCGATAACACACTGTCATCCTAATACCATTTCACACAACATACTGTCATCCTAATATCATTTCACACAACAAACTGTCAGGCTAACACGAGTTCACACAACACACTGTCACGCTAACGCAAATTCAAAAAACATGCAATATCGCTAACACGAGTTCACATAACACGCAGTCTGGCTAACACGAGTTCACACAATATGCAATCTTGCTAACACGAGTTCTCACAACACACTATCTCTCTAACAACAGTTCACACGACAAATTTTCAGGATAACAAGTTCACACAACACACTGTCACGCTAACACAAATTCACAAAACATGCTGTCTCGTTAATAAGAATACACACAACACGCTGTCTTGCTAACATGAGTTTGCACAACACGCAGTCTCGCTAACACGAGTTAACACAACACGCAGTCTCACTAACACCAGTTTACACAACACGAAGTCTCGCTAATACGAGTTCAATCAACACTCTGTCTAGCTAACATGAGTTTACACAACACACTGTCACACCTACACTTTATACACGATTTTAAACAACACGCTGTCCCGCTAACACAAGTTTACGCAACACATTGTCAAACTAACAAGAATTCACACAACCCACTGTCAGGCTAACACAATTAAGTTCACAAAACACACTGCCTTGCTAACACAAATTCATACAACACACTGTTTTGCTAACACAAGTTCACACAACACACTCACATTGCTGAGTTTATAGTAAAGGTCTACCCTAATTGAAGAGGGTTAAAACTAACATATCTCTATTTTAGTAAAAAGCTTTAAATTTAAGATAAAAACATTTATGCAGTAATGTTCCTTAACATGCATCTGGCATATAAAATGAATGAGACCTTAAAAACCTCACAGTACATGTTTACTTAGCTAATTAAAGGTTAAAATTGATGCTATTCAACAATATATATCAATATCTCTAAGTATGGGAATGAGTGAAATTCTCAAATAAATATTATAAATCAAAGTATCAATAAGAAGGTGAACCTTAGGTCGCAGGTTCCAATCCCCTTGCTAAATGCTTTAGACAGGTTACTCCTATGAGACTGCATAAACCAAGATTCTGTGTCAGGGTAGGTGTTAGCACAAAATGGATCTCATACTTCTTAAAGGCAATGAGTGCTGAGTACAAGTCTAAATTTGCAGCTAATACCATCCCAAGTGGTGGCACCATGAAATGACTGAAAAATGTATGATTAAGGCAAATAAACAAACATTAAACCATTACAGCAGTCTTATCAAACAAAAAAAGCAAACTTTCTATTATTACAATTTTTTAAAAAAAATTTCTTTTGCAATTTAACTGAGCAATATTTATCCTTTTTTGTCAGTAAAGTATGATATTAAATAATTAAGACTTTTTGAGAACATCTATTTGTAGCGAGTCCAGACAGCAGCACAAATCCCTGCCCATAATGCGAGCTCTTATGGTAACACCTTGGCAAAAGAAGATTGTGACTTGCACATTGCTCCACACAATTTTTCCGCAGTATACTTTGGACACACAGTGCTTAGCTTCTTTAACATGTTTAAGCAACATTCAAAATTCATTTCTATTTAAATTGAATTAGGTCTAGCTATCCTTACTCACGTTCACATGGAGCTAATGGGAAGTAATTTAATGAGCAGTTTATTCATTTAAACATTTGAATATACTCTCAGTGTGAACATTGAGCATGGATGCACCAAATGTCAAATGCGGCTTGACAAGCACAATCTAAATTAAAACTAAATAAGTATCTGCCCTCACCCTTACAGTCGTATATTCTGTAACATTAAGTGCAGTTTGAACTAATGCTAATTGTAACGGGGACCGTTACAGATGTTCCCCAAACGCTCCCCAACTCCTTTTTGGTGCCATATTCCCTGTAAGCGTCATTAAATAAGACAAACTCTGTGCATTTTGACTTTAACAACGTTTTCTCAGAAGGATACCAATTATATTCAAATTTTAGCATTGCACCCGTGCGCATGTGAATACATGTCCGTTATGATCATATCATCTTGTCTACACTATCTACACATTTTAATATACAATATATTAAAGCATTCAGTCCAAAAGTATGAAAAGTCACTCTTTCAAGTGTATTTTTCATTTCACTCGTTCCAAATGCACGCACGTGCGTGCACGTGCATGATGACCATACCTTCTTGTAGGAGTACCTTACATCTATCTATATTCTAAATCCCATCCTGTTTGGTTGAAAAACAAGGGAGTTATAGCCATTTCAAGTTTAAGCCAATCAGATTGCAGCACACGTGTATGCGCGTGATTTCATGATTTATTTCTATATCATATTGTAGGATATCCTAATGCATGACAATGTTTTAAATTTCAAAGCATTTTGTCAAAAAACAAAGTAGATATAGCCATTTAAAGTTTCAGCCAATCAGATTGCAGCACGCAGGTATGCGCATGATTTCATGAAAATTCTTACATATCATGCTGTAGATCTTCATAATG